GCAAGGATGAGGGAGAGGGGGTTTAATTTGTCGCCCGGAGGCCAATTTTGCTATTTTACCCCTAAAAAACCACAAAAATGCGATTATTTTTCGAGGAGCTCCGACAACCTATTTCGAAATTGCCCAAAAACCCATCAGGGGGTACCCCACTACAACCTCCAACTTGAATTTTTGATGTACAACAAAGTCGCATTTAAAGTGAGTTCAGGGGCACCGTGATCTGTTTTAGCTCTTGAGAATTTCCAATCATCTCATTTTGCCAAAGGAGGTTCATCCTCGTTTAAAAGAAATGAAAAGTTACTTGAGACATTCAACCGTTCTTATAATCTCTATGCATAAGAATAACCTCAGTTCAATAGTTTTATCGGAGATTCACGGAACTGCTCAGCCTGTGTTTGCGAACTAGATGCGCATGCGCATGAATAGAAAATTCAGCCAAGTTATTTATATTTTTATCACGACAACTTGTAAGACAAATAGTGACATTCAGCCTAATATTAGAGAGTAATTTTCTTAGATGTTCTCATTAAGCAACCCTAACTATTAAAGTGAAGCCATGTGCCTAAACAGTTAAAATTCTGAGAATTGAAAGCGTAATACTGGTAATATAATGCAAAGAAACTGAAAATCAGGGTAGATTTACCTTTTTGTCATCTCTGGGATACCTGTATTTTGGAGCCTTCTTTCAATCAGGACCAGATTTAGCATTTTGCTTCTGCTCAACAAGATTGAAGAGCAAAAAAAATATGTAATTACCTGCGAAATTAGTTCCCTTTCCTCTGTAATTTTGATGTCATGGGCTGCCGTCTTCATTGCTCATGTTGACATCCTCTGCTATCAAGGAAACTTATTTCTGAGCCACCAATAAGCCAAATGCTTGTTGTTTCTCAAAAAAAAATGTGTCAAAAATCAACTGGAAACTGCAGGTAGAACTTTTGGTTCAATTGAAATTTTATGATCATAAAAATTTAAACCGTTTTATGTTCTCATAGAGAAATGCTGATGATCTCCTGATGGCAAGGACAGAAGTCAGAAACGTAGATTGATTTCAGTGCTCATGAAGTTTGCTTTTTAGAGTTCGTGAATTTTCTTGTTTTTGTAAGTGGTACTTACTCAATAAAAAATCAGGTGTACCTTTATGTTAAAACCCAAGTCACTTGTAATATAATCGGATGTTAAGAAGTTGAACATCAGCGACCTGATATTTTTAAAGGAGTCCCTCCTAATAGCTCTTCCAAACAATCAAAGGACTCTAGCTTACTTTGGAATCCTTTTTTCAGTGCATTGTAGATCGATTTGTTTCTTTGATTGTATGAATGAAGTGTTTTACAGCTTATCTACCAGGAAATTGATTCAGCGCAGCAGAATCCCTCACAAAGTGTAGAGTGCAATTTTGGACTTTTTTTGACCTCAAACGGTTGTCTTTGATTTTTTAGTTGAGATCGTTATTCTTTTTTTCCCCCACAGTACGTCGGACTCCTGCAAATTCTAATGACCTCACACCTCTGTAGTCAATCGTGTCTGTATCACTTTTAGATGCGGCCGCGTGACCGCTTCTAGGCAAGAGACTGATATTAATATGCGAATTTTGTTGATTGTGAACTTGTATGAAAACTTGTTTTGTTTGTAAATACTGTATTTGTTAATGATTCAATAAATAGCTGATAGCCTTGTATATGTTACTCTAAAATTACAAGTTAGTCTTATTAATTCATATTCTTCAACAAGATTAACACCTGCATCTCAGCTGGACTTTGTAGAAGTTTGTCAAGGATTTGATCGCGGAGGAATGATAATGACAGTTAAATCCTGAAAAAACACTATCTGTAGTCAGGGCAACAGCTGATTGGAGTCTCTCAAGGTTCAGGGCTCTCAATTGCAGATACAAGGTCGCCACTTCAGCAGATACTGATATGGCAGAAGTTGGCCACACATCATTCTGGACACCTATGGAAGGGGGTCTTATAGTGTTTGACAGAGGGGTTAAAACAGTTATTAAGCTGTTGGACTCATAAGCATTTAGTAATTCATGAGTTAATTATAACAATTTAAGTTAAAGGCAACTTGAATTCAAAGGTTTGAGAAGTCAAAGAAAGGGAGGAAAAGAAACTCGGCGGAATTCAAACTTTTTCTGGCATTTTTAAACATTTGTTGACAGTGAGTCTAAAATTACCTTGGGGAGTCTGAAACCCCCTGGATAGAGAGGACTAAAAATTGGAAAAAAGCCTTGGCACTATAATTTTAAAGTGTGGAATCCTGGAGACAGGAACTTTCTCAGGGATTCTCAAATTAAGTTTTTTTATCAGGGGAAGCTTTGATAAACTTTGATGTTGCGAAAAATTCCCATCCATAGTCCGTACATAGAGTGGGAAATCAAGAACGTTTTTAAAAAATAACGTTGGTTAGTTTTCCATTCAGAAGACAGATTCAGATGGGCAATTTGTAGCGATGTAAATCTAAATCCATTCTCAATTATGAGTTCACAAAAAGTGCAGTGTACGAAAATCAGCAGCTGTGCTATCTCCTTAGGAAAAGATACAGTTAATGCTAAGTGTGTAATCTATCAATTACCTTTTGTAAAGTCCCAGGAAACTACCAGAATATTTTACATCACTGATCCTTGCCGAAGAAAGAATAAACGGAAAAGAAATTGCTGAAGTAACATCCTGTATGTTGAATCTGCACAACACCTCTTGAATGTTGTTATGGACACTCTGGCCGTTAAAATAACATCCTAGCTATGTTGACTTAACAACCATAGCGTTCACATAAACATTCAAGAGTTATCGCCCAGATTTTTAACATCCGGAATGTTACTTCGACAATTTTTTTCTGTGACTCTCAATTGGATGCCTGTAATCTACCAATGGAGTGAAAAAATAACAATTTGTTTTCTCTGAACACACTGTTAGTCTTCAGATTGCCACCGCAGCTTTATTTTTCTAAGGTCCTTGTCACAAAAAGCGGATTCTTCTTAACTGTTTTTGGCATTGAGTATATGGTTGTTACCAACTCGATTTACCAGAACTATTACTCATGCATTAATGTGGTTTATTGACAAAAAGCTTCGCCACCGTCAAGGGATAGCAGGAAATGTCAGGGGATTTCGTTTTCTCAATTCTGCGGCAACTCTGTGTGTGACTAAAATAATTATATCTGGAGATAGACAAAAAAATTCAATTGGAGTACCCACCAAGAAATCACTTCCTTTCAAATTTTTGAAAAAAAGAAGCAAAAAAAACCAGTTTAAAATCAAGCATTGTCTAAGAATACGTAAACATTGTATTTGTAAACTTCAAGACAGAAAACTTTCATTTTTTCAGGTACTCTAAGAACAAACTTTTTCATTTTAAAAAAAGACATTATTTCAAATTGATTTTGAAATTTTCAATTTTCTTTCCCCAATAGTAGTTTTTTAAATCCTCATCCTACTGGTCATAGAATCTCAAAAGATCTGGAGAAATCAACCAAGAAAAATTCCAATTTTCCGAACATTATTTCCTATATTAAGGTCTTGAAGACAACTGGATTATAATCTTCAGCTAGCTGAGCATGAAATCTCAGCTTCAAAAGCGCAAGGTGGCTAATGGAAAGGTCTGTTGCTTACCAAATAAGGAACAATTTTGTGATAAGCAATCAGAGATTTAGACTTATTAAAATGTTTAAAATTGTGTACTTTATTCCGAAGATAACTTTACATGTATATACCTAGCAAAATACATTATGAAAAAGAGAAAAAAAACTGACAGAGTAAAAATAGAAGAGATCGTAAGGTACAACTTTTTAAAATTTCAACCATTAATAAAAATGACAATTGTAGAACGACACCCCTGAGCAGGGAATATTAATATGTGTCGAGCTTAGCTTATCTATAAAAAATTTCAATTCTAACTACATTTTATAACACCTACAAATTTTTTGAGCAGGCATTGAACCTGTGACACGTAACATCATAAGTTGGAGCAAAACTTCTATCTGTTCAAAAACGGACAGTGCAGCAGTGTTAATTTTTTGTAAAAAAAAAAATAAAGGAACAAATACCTATGCAAAGTATTCAGTGTTCAACAATAGAGGTGACTTAACCCCGCCAATGTTGGTAAAAAATTTGGTAATTAATTCTCAGATCAATTTCCCTGACACATAAGTGCTTAAAACCATTCAGTTTCTAAGAGAGTATGGTACAAACTATCGAATGATTGTACCAATGCTAAAAAAGTACATCATTTGAAAAGTGCTACATTCAGACAGTGTTTTTTCAAAAGGAATTGTGTGACATCAGCTGTTGCCAAATTTTGATAATTTGTCTTTTCACAAAAAAATTGCATCAATAGTCTTAAAATATTCAATTAATATGTTTTATGCCCCAGAGAAATTTAAACTCGCTAACCAATTTATACAACTGCTCTCTTTTAAAACCGCATAATTTGTCCCAAGAAATTTGGCGAAAGCTTCTGTCACTTGATTTCTTTTCAAAAAACACAACCCAATCATGAAAAAAAATTGACTGGGTTAGATATAAGGAATTGATAAAATAAAATAGTAAAATATTAGCACTCTTACATACTTAGCTTCATTTTTCAAAATGTGCTTTGGATCACTGAAAACAGCTAAAATGGAGTTAAAATTTAGCTTCAAATTACGTTCCAAAAAATAAAGCTATGAGCAAGTAAGTGCTATATTTTACAATTTGATTTCCCAGCTAATTTAGGTTTTTACCACTACAAATTCAGTGAAGCGTTAAACGATGAGGTTTCAAAAGATTGATCAAACAATTGTAAAAAGAAAAAATTGACAACTGCAGGAGATATTTTATACATTCAAATAGATTGTAAAATTCTAGGAAAATTCTTTAAATTATTCAGTAAAAAATAAGAAAAAAATGAAATAAGCTCAATGGTTAAAAAAAACAGTCAGGTACATACACTGTGATGCTCCACAATTTTGCCAATGCTTAATTTCTGGGCAAAATTAGCGAACCTTCAATCTGAGTTACTCTGTTTTTTCACAAGAATCTCCCGGAGAGCTAAAAAGCAACATGTATACATATGTATCTGAGAATTTGAGGAGATAAAATTATCAGTTTTTTTAAAAAAAATTGCAATTCAGATAAAAATTATGATATTTACACAATTTGTACATAAACATAATCAATGATTAAAAATTTAAAACTACATGTTGATTACTTCAAGAATTATATTTTTACACCGAGTTTTAGACAGACAGATGACAGAGCAGTGAACGGATGGATGAACGCTTTAGGAGCAGTGGTAAGCCCCCAGTCAGCAGTTTTTAAAGGTCTCTCCTTTCGCTGTGATTTTCCTTTGGGCTCTTTCATACTTTTCTTCTGGAGTGGTCCATACACATACTTCAAGGTTTTTACCAACTTGTCATTGGACAAAAGCACCTGCAAACAAAAATTTTCATCTCTGCTGAAAAATGTTTTAACTTATAAACCAAATAAGCTGAGGGGTAAGTTTGACCAGACATCAAACTTTAAAGTACACATCATCTCCTCACCTTATTTCAACAATGGAACGCCCACATTGTTTCACCTACTTAGAATGTCTGCAAGCTGTGGAACTAATTGCACTGAACGCTACTACTGCAAATTTTAATTCATTCGTGACTGTCCACTGGCTGTGGCTTTATGCTCAATGGTATCTTTATGGTTGTGAGTATTGGTGCAATATTTTTTTTGAACTGTGCTCATGGCTGTAACCAATATAGCAGGAGAGAATTATAATGAAACTGGATATGCCCCAAAGAGGAAGCTTCATCGCAGTTTTTGGCCAAAACCCTTGTTTTGCATTTTATTAACTCATCGTTTGTCATGATTCAATAAGAAGATGGAACTAGCTACAATAATGCCTCATTTCTGTCTACCTCACATGATTCACCCTAAAGCCGTTTAAGGATGGGACATATTCGCAGCTCAGCATTGCGATCTTTTGTGATCAATTGAGCTTATTGGCCTACATCAAATAGAAAATGATAGCCCAAGGATAAAGATCAAAGTTTCCAGGAGAAAGTTCAGAACTATTTCCCTGGTTCTCCAAACTACTTGGTGCAAAAACGCATGTGTGCTTTTGAAGAACACACAAATGCGCAACACGAACATGCATTCTCAGAGTTTCCAGAGCAGAACAGTGTTTTCCTATGTTAGTTTCCCATGGAGGTAGATTTGTTGAAAATTCTCAGGAGTGAGAAAGTTCTTACTTCAATCCCTACGCTGGAATCCTAAGCCCACGTTCGATTCAGTTTAGTTTCCATGCAGTTCAAGAAAAGAGGCTGATTAAAAATATGGAAAAAATGTCTACTTACGGCTGCTTTTTCTGGATCTTGTGCAAAAAGCCAGAGAAGTGTGACTGCATGGCAAAATAGTTCTGCGTTCTTCTCATAGTATGCACGGAAGATATTAAGCAGGACATCCAACCCATTGCAGGATAAAAATTCCTGTAAAACCAATTTTAAATTTTTACATTTTCAACCATTATTAAAATCATCATGAATGAGCAATGCACTGGGAAAGTTAACAGAAGAAAAAATGGACTACCGTAAGAGTCTGTTGAGAGGAACTACACTTAGGACAAAATTATTGTTGGTCCTGTGATACTCTGATAAGAACCTAAGTAAAAAAAGTATGGTTCCAATGAAAGCCCAGGAATTTCGATCACCAAAGAGGCTAGCTAAAGTGAAGAAAATTTCAGTATTTATAACAACATTGGGAAAAAAAACGAGGACTTTAAGATGATTATGTATAGAAATACATTGAAAGTATAAGCAACTGCCCCGTTTCTAACCAGTGCATCATGCTGTTATTGGGTGGCATTTAGTAAAAAATAATCCAAAGCCGTCAGCCTTTATACATGCAAGATAGATATTCCCCCATGCAATTCAGCAACACTTTGCCCTTCCAAACGTTCACATTGTTAGGCAAACTGAGTAGTATTAGTTCTGTACCAATTTAAGATTCATGCAAATCAACTATTGGAGGCAACAAATTTTTACATTTTGCCATTTTAAGTGCTCATTCTTTGATCAGAGGACTGTTTATCGAAATTTTTCAAAAACATGCGCAGAAAAACCACTCAGACTCTATTTTCTCTAGAGGATATGTAATAGGATTTCTTCACATTTTTAGGTCTTACACCACAGGTGAAGCCGGCTTCTTTGATTTTTTCTTCATTTCTTAAAATGGTACTGACTGTGGTATTTGGAATTTTAAAAAGCGTGCAGATGTCTTCCTTCTTCCGTGTTGCGTACTTCTCAGCAAGGTCAATTGTTTAAAACTCCCTTTGATTTATTTAAAGGTAATGCATTGGAAGCACATTTTTTCATTGATTTTCTGTTAATAATTATCACTTTCCAGATCCACCAGCTAAAATTAGAATACAAGGAAAACTTTATGCAGCCAAAATCTTCTTAGCTTACCTGCCAAACCGAGGGAGCAGTGTTATGGTATCGGGTCAAGTTCATCAGTGTGCGGATACAGACAATGCTGAGTTCTTGATAAGGTTGCGAGCGGTTGGCCGACTGCAGGTAGAAGATCACAACTTGAACAAGTTGGCCGTCCACGAGTTCATCACAAAGCTTTGGCGATAAACACGTAACTGTATCTGCAATAGAAATACTAAAAGATGAGTTGAGTTGCTTATGGTGTCAAGACTTTCACGAGTGAGAACTTAAAGTTTCCCAGCTTTATCGATTCACTAGTCCGACAACCAGTGGCTTCATGGAGAAGGGGGGAGTAATAGCCTACCTTAAGAGTCGAATTACCGAAGAGTTAATGTACTTTAGATTCAATTCTATAGATTTCCTATAGTTCCAGTCTCCTACAGAAGACTTTGATGAGAAAACTTGAATGTAATATTTGAATTTTTACTTTATATTAAGAGTGTCCTATCGGAATTTCTCGGATAATTTTTTGTTCTTTTCTGAGACGGTTTAAGGACGGCCACGAGATTGCCTAGGTAAATCTACGAAAAGAATAGAAAACAGTCAGATTATATACAATAAGACACCCCTCCCCAGTATGGTCCAAGTTGATGAGATCTTACCTAAGTTAATGAAGGATACGATGAGTCCATGAAGATCAGTTTCATTCGAAAAGACTTCAGATATTGCACCATCAAAACGGGTCTTGAGCGTCTGTTTTTTCTGTGCCACCATATTTACATTGTTGTGTAGCTGCAAAGATTCTTCGGTAGAAAGCTTCGGGAGCTTCACTTGTTTTCTTGCGCAATAACCACGCCACAAAGCCTGTCAAAAAACCCACCAAATATAAACACATGGACATAACACAAATTACTTCAAAAATACCTCTATACTACACACAGTATATCCTCTTGAAAGTTATAGATATCGACTGCTGATTTTGCTTCTTGGATGTTTAATTTTTTTTATAAAAACTGTTTTTGTCTCAACACTTTGAAATGCGTGATGCATATATTGTTCCTTCCGTGTTGACTTTATTTCATCCTTTATTTCCAGCCACCACAGGATCTACCCATTGACAATTATTGCAGAAAAAAAAAAATAAATAAAAACTATAAAAACTATGCAACAATATTTTATAATTATGACGCACAAAAGCAACCAACGAAAACGTGTGCATTATTGATTGGTAAGGCTGGATGGAAAAAACTGAGGTACACTTACTGTAATGGATATTTTTAATTACTGTGCTAACTGTATCCTTATGAGGCAAATGGATCGTGAAACTTGACGTATGGACACATCATTTTATTTTTGGCTAATCTGTAAATTAATTCATAGATACACAATTCTATGACTGGCGCATCTAAACTGTTGTAAATACATACACCAAACTTAGTATATGTACCTGAATTTTAGTCGCAGCCTGATGACTTCTTTCCCTCTCGCGTTTTTCTGCTAGAACCTGTTCTTTCTGAGCCACCATCAAACGATATTCTCTCTGAGCTATTGCAACAAGTTTCTTCCCTCGCCATTTCTGCTGCACCCAAACAACCGTTGCTCGAAGCTGAAGGTACTCATTGCGTTCAGCACGAACTTTCAGGAACGCTCGCCAGTGCTGTTGAATGATCACTGCTGCTTTGCGTTGTTGACAGAACTCTTTGCGGGCAATTTGCGCTGATTTCTTTGCACGGTAACGCTGCTGGATCGCCACAGCTGCAGATTTCAGCTCCAGGAATCGAGTTCGACATGCGACCATTACTAGATACGACCGGAAATGTCTGAAATAAAGGCAATTGGATTGAGTGTCATGCATGTTGGAGAAAAAATCTTTCATCTTCACAAAGACAGTCCTTTAGGGTAGATCTACAGCACTGACAAGTTTCTTATAAGTCTCTGCCACTAAAGGAGACACACAGTCTTTACACACTGTCTTTTACAGTGCTGTGGAACCACCTTAGGATGGATGATATAAATTGGACGTATTTCTGCCAAACGGAACTATAAGCATTAAGACATGAGCCCTGAGACCCATAAGAATATGTGCATAACAGGGCTCACATCATAATGCACATAGTTCCATTTGATAGAAATACGTCTAATTTGGCTGGCAGTCCAATGGATAGTATAAGGCTTTAGTGAATGGTGAGATTTTACACGATAACAGGACCTCAAGGCTCTCCCTTGGTTGAATTTTGCTCTTTCAGTGTGCCGTATCAATCCGAAGAATGATTTTGGGACTAATTGAAGGAGAATCCAAATCGGCCCATTTTTCAGTGAGAGGCTAAGTTACTTGTTAAGCGTCTTTTTTAGTTTAGAAGAAACAACAACCTTAGCTAAGAGGGTATGATATCGCGTTCAGGGGTGCAAAAGTTGCCTGATCATGGGCCTAGGCGGGCGTATGGAAATGCAGAAACGGAATATTTTCGAGAGTCAAAAGTCGAAAGTCAAAGGGAAATAGAATATAATAGTCATCATCATTAAAACTGATAGGAAAATTTGTGGAAAGTTGATGAGAAAAAAGTGGACAGCTGGCGGGCAGAAACGAGGTATGAATACTTGAAGGATTCTGCACCTATAATTCATGTCTAACATTCACCTATTATTCCCGTCTATCACTGCTAAGATACAAAGAAAAAGAAACTTTTCAGGTGGCTTTACTTTCATTGCATTTTTCCCAAATTGATGACATTAACTCAGAGAAACAAAAGAAGATGGTGGCAGTTAGACATAGATGGGAACAATATGGCATCAATACTCCTGCAAAATCCAACATTCTACGTATAAGGGAAACACTCCATAAAATCCATTGTTTTAGCGTAATTCAACATGATTCACAATTTTAAACATTTTTTGAACGATGGCTTTTATCAAAAAATGTAACCGTTTTCCAGAAAAATTATGAATAAAATGTCTGCGCCCCTAAATGTTGTACGCCTGTCTAAAATGCCCAAAATGTAAATATCTCATTTTTTTTTCCCATGGCATTAACCGAAAAGAAATGCAATGTCTCTAAAAACTAATTACCTTTGTATAATAATGGTTGCAGCTTTTTTCCTTAAAAATTCTAGCCGTGCTTTTCTCATCAGCTGGTTCGCTCGGAACAGTCTCTGGATATGAACAGTTGAGGTCTTCAGTTTCAAGTAGTTGGAGCGAGTTGATTTTGCAGCATGATTTGCTCTGAAGATTCGTTGTGTAATGATAGCCGCATTTCTTAAAGCTAAATACCTACTGCGTTGAATTTTTGCTGCCTTTCTAGCACGGAATCTAGTTTGCAAAATGAGTGCTGCATTTTTCAGGGACACATATTCACGCCGCACTTTGCGCATGGCTACCTGTGCACGGAACTGTACTTGGAAGATCACAGCTGCAGCCTTCAGCTGAGTATAAGCAGCCTTTTCAGCTTTCATCATTCTGTTGGCTCTGAACTTGGCTTGAATAATGCTAGCAGCATACTTGAGCTCCAGGTAATTTCTGCGGTCCTGTTCAGCTAACTTCTTGGCCCGATAATGGCGTTGCACGCACACTGTGGCAATTCTCAAGGCTGAGAATCTTGCATGCTCTGTTTGGGCAAGCTTCTTTGCGCGGTACCTCCTCTGAATCAACAACACTGAGTTTTTCAATTTTTGGTACAGTAGTTGACATTTTTTTGCTTTCTGATTGGCTCTCCATCTATTCTGAATGACTATTACTGCCATACGAAGATTCTGATACTTCAAGCGGTCATTCTTTGCTGCACAATTGGCTCGGAAACGAGATTGAATCATGATAGTGGCCCCTTTTAATCTGATATATTCTTGACGAGCCTTCTTTGCAGCTATAGTTGCTCTCACATGACGTTGAATAACAATCGCTGCTGCACGTTCCTGCAAGAACATTCGCCGTTCCTGTGGCACAAATATCTTTCGCCACCACTTCTGAATTTTTCTTACTGCTGTTCGGCATTGGATAAAGTTTTTTCTTGCAATAAATCTTCGCCAGTGTTTCTGTAACACAGTTGCAGCCGCACTTCGAGTTGCGTGAATTTCAGCTAGTTGCCTCTGGTACCGGGTTTGAGCGAGATACCGTCGCCAGTGTTTTTGAATTATGATTGCTGATTTGTTTCTCAGAGCACGAAAAACTGCTATTTGTTGTTTGTAGCTCCTTTGTGCTGTGTACCTTCTCCAGTTCTTTTGTATAATGACTGCAGCTGCGTTTCTTGCATTGAAAATGATCAATAGTTGAGCCTGATATATTTTTTGAGCTACGTATCTCTTCCAGTGTTTCTGTAGGATAATAGCAGCATTATTTCTCTTTTTCTCTCGTTCTTCAGCAAGTAACCTCCAATATCTCTTTTGAATGACAAATCTTCTCCAGTGTTTTTGAAGGGTAGTTGCAGCTTCGTTTTTCCTCTCATTCAATGCTGCCAGCTGCTTCTGATAACTTCGCTGAGCAGCAAATCTCTTCCAATGTTTCTGCAGAGTGGTTGCAGCAATGTTCTGTCTTCTAGCCAATTCTGCTGCTAACATCTGCTGATAACTTTTTTGTGCAGCAAATCTCCGCCAGTGTTTTTGCAACAGGATAGCAGCTTCGTTTCTCCTTTTTTTGATGGCTGTAAGCAGAACTAGATACCTCTTCCGAGCTACGCACTTCCTCCAATGTTTTTGAATAACAGTTGCTGCATCGTTTCTTCTTTTAAGATGTTCTGATAAGAGTTTCTGATAACTTTTCTGGGCTACATGCCTACGCCAATGCTTTTGAAGTACAATTGCAGCTCGATTTCTCTTCTCTTTGATGCTTGAAAGCAATTTTAGATAACTCTTGCGAGCTTCATACCGTCTCCAATGTTTTTGTAAGACAATTGCAGCATCATTCTTTCTTCTGAGATTTTCGGCCAACAGTTTCTGATACCTTTTTTGAGCAATATACCTTCGGCAGTGTTTCTGAAGAACAATTGCAGCCTTTTTTCTTCTAAGTGCAGTGAGCTGTTCTTGATACTTCTTTTGAGCAATATACCTTTTCCAATGTTTTTGCAAGGTCACTGCAGCTATATTTTTCTTTTCTTGTTCTGCTGCTATCCTCCTGAGTTCTTGTAAGGCTACTAATTTTTCATGATAACCCCTCTGGGCAACATACCTCTTCCAGTGTTTCTGCAAAACAACTGCAGCTTTATTCTTCTTTTCCCATTCTATTTGTAGTAACTTCTGATACTGTTTCTCAGCAAGATGTCTTCGCCAATGTTTCTGCAACACAACTGCTGCTTCATGCCTGCGTTCGCGCTCAATGCGTATTAATTCTCTAAACTTATTCTGCACAACATACCTCCGCCAGTGCTTCTGTACAACAACTGCTGCCGTGTCTCTTTTTTTACGTAATACCTCTAACTTTTGCTGATAGGCTCTCTGCAAGAAATATCTTCGCCAGTGTTTCTGTATCACCACAGCAGCTTTTGTTCTTTCTACCCGTTCTTGTATCAACTGTTTGCGAATTGTCGCAAATTTGATTCTCAAACTGACGCCTCGCCATAATGCCTGAATTTTGCTAGCTGCAGCATTTTGCTTTGCAAGCCGTTTTGCTCGAATCCTTCTCTGGATTGTAAAACGCAACGAATTTGAACGCCACCAATTTTGGAGTTTTCTGGCAGCTTTTTCGTACCTAGGAGCTTGGAATTTGTAGATTATTTGCCACAGCAATGACAAGGTTTTTTCTCTGTGTCCATCCACGATGTCCTTGGATGTAATATCACCTTGTATCTCATAGCCTGCACCTTTCAGTGCTTTTAAAGCTACATCAACATTGTGAACCTTTTGCAAGCGTGAAATTGCAGGTGTTCTAACCTTGGCCGACAAACCATGGTTACCCAAAATGATTTCCATTACTCGTGTCAAACGCACACCGTCCCGGAGGTCTTGGCGGTCGACTACTGCATAGTTGAACTCATCCAAATATGTCTGCTTGTGTTGTAGCACATAACCAAATGACTTTAAATACTTGGTGATATCTCCGAGACCTGAAATCAGGTCTTTAGCGAACTCTTTTACCAAGTCGCTTGACTCCTTAAAGGGCGAATTTGTGACAAACAGGCAGGGATCATGTCCCACTAGTTTTTGCATCTTGGCTTGATCAAGGAAGTAGACTAGCATCAAAAACTTTTGCATTATGAATTTCTTCATCTCATCTCCAAAAGATGGCAAAAATGAGCTGGGTAGTAAAGGATGCGAATGCTTCTTCCGCAAATAAGCATCAGTCAGCAATCGCTTACGTATGAATGCAGTTAGCCCTACAATATCTGAGTTTGACACCAAGGCAATGCGGCAACCAAAAATTGTTTCTAGACCTATACGCAGCCAAAGTGGATTATAACACAATAACAAACTCAAGACCTTGCACTGAAGCCCATAATCTAGGTGCAGATCGCGGTCATCGCGTATGCGCAGAAGCTTTTTATTGATTGATACAGCCAGTTTTGACAGCACCACAGCCATATCTGTGCGGAAAAGTGTGGTTGCAGCCTTTCGAACAACGTCTAATCTTGTGTTTGTTAGATACCTGGAGGAAACAGCCTCCTTTGATGGGGCAAGTTCTAGTTTCTGTGATTGTGATTTTTTCCACAAGGCTGCAACATCAACCCGCCAATGACCTCCAGAATCAGAGTCGAGCTCTGCTGGCGGGGTCAGCAATGAGTTCAGCCATTTAATTAAGTCCGCTTCCTGCCGGTCCAGCCACTCTGGGTCGTAGTAGAGTGAGTTCGTCAAGAATGGATCAACTTTAGATGTTGCTGCATAGAGAAAGAGATAATCTGCAGGTTGCGATAGTGATTTCAGGTACTGGTCAGGGTTAGAAAGATAAGCGTTTTTCAATGATGCAGAGGACCCAAGTTGGGGCTGTTGTTCTCCCATTAGTTTTTTTGAGGGTGTCTGATCTGAAGGTGCTCTTAGCGATGAGGTAGATGCAGAACGAGAAATTTTCTCATTTGCTGCTTGCATCTTGTTTGCAGAGTTTTTCATAGAAGATGCAGATACAGAACGGGTCATTTTCTGCTCTAATTCTTTTTTATTCTTTAAATTTTCAGGAGGAGTTTTCACGGGTTTTTTCAAAGAAGACAGTGTTGCAGAACGCGTGAGCCGTGGTGCAGAATTCAGATTCTTTTCGACAGGTTTTTTGAAAACAGTATCCTTAGTGGCCTGAGACTGACTTTGCTCAGCTTTACGTCCCTGAGGTTTGAGTTTAAGAGTGGCCATAGGAACACCAGTGTATCTCTGCGCTGGTTTTGCAGCTGGTTTCAACTGTTGTGAGGGTCGTTTGGAGGGCGCAGGTTTTGGCTCGGCGATTTTTGCCTTAGGCGTTGCAGATTTGTGTGCTGCGACAAGCCGCTTGAGACGGGTTGTTGGTGACATGACTTGTCTAGCGGTAATACTTTTTGCTACAACTCGAGTAGGATAGCACTGCTGCTTTTTGGGCTCATCCGACAATTGCGGGTCCATTTTAGATTTTTTCGGGGGAGAAATTTCCAGAATTACAGGCTTTTCTTGAGTCTTAACCTTTGAAAGAAGAGATTTAGAACTACTGAATGGGGATTCTTGCAGCTCATAAAGACTGAAATTATCTACGATTTCTTTGACTAGGCTTTTCCTGTTACTTCGCGGAGTTCTTAGTTGTGGAGTTTTTAAAGTAAGATGACTTCCAGTGGAGGTAGATTCGCTGGCCTTTTTACTTCTAGGCGTCTCTATCTGTGGTGTGTTGAGTTTGAAAGCGCTGGGACTCAGAGCATCCAAATTTTCTGTTGAAGGGCCAGAACAATTTTGGGAAACTGTTACATCTGTATAGACTTTAACCCACTCAGGTGTTCCTGGTGTTTTTATTGGTTCTTTGTTGAAGTTAGCACTCCACTTTTTTCTACCACTGCAAGGTGTCCTCAATTGAGGTGTTTTTAGACTATTTTGCAGGCTTTTACGAACTTTAATGTCTGAGTCGAATACAGTTTTGGCTTCTAATTCTTGAATCCTTGCACTAACAGGTGTATTCAGCTGAGGCGTTTTCAGTTTGAAATTATCTGGGCTACACACTTCTAATGTCTCAAAGAAATGATCCCTCGACTTATCAAGAACCCCCTTCTTGTCTGGGGTTTTTCCTTCCGATTCTCTGAGATTGTATCCATGCATAGGACTTGAGGAATTAACCTCTGCTGGTTGCTGAAGTGTTATCATAACATCCTCACCTTTTCTCTGCATTGGCGTGCTGAGTACTGGTGTTTTCAAGTGCAGATCACTGAGCTCTTCATTACTTTCATCTATAATCGTGTAGGACAAATTATGTACTTTTGTCTCAATTTCTTTCGGGGGCATAACATATGTACAACGTTTCATATCGAAACTTGGTGAAAATTGTAATGGTGGAAGTGCACTGAAGCCTTTGTTTCCTGGACTGACCCATCTTTCATGGCTACTCTCAATGGAAAGTCGGTCTGCATGGCTTAGAAGAGGAGAACTTTTGGCACAGGGTTCTAAAGTTTCTATGGAGGTGGAGTTTTTTCGAGTAAAATCAAGGTCTTTTGAATTGATAGAATTTTCAAGACTTTTTCCTTTAGCGGCTAAAATTGTAAAATCTGCATAAGTTGGACTGACGATGTTTGATTTAGAGGCATCCCCTGTGACAGAGCGGTTCCTGCTCCGCAGAGACCTGTCACAGGCTGACGGGGCAACAACAGCATCTAGTGAATCTCGATCAATTGACCTGTTTGCATCAGGATTGCTATCCAGTGAGTCACGGAATGAGAAGACATCATCTGATATGATGGATGTACCAATTTCTAGACTATCAATTGAAATTCTATCTTTTCTATTTTCCAGTAACTGAGCTGGTTGAGATATAATATGCTGATACTGTTGAGGAGAGTTGGACCGCTGCTCTGAGGCTTGAGCAACCGTCAGGAGACTATTGCTTCCAGGCGAATTAAGAGAATATGTAGATCGCCGCATTGAGCGACGAGATGGTTCCTGTTGCGGCTCCTGTTCTTTGAGACACATAGCGACTTCAAGCGGACCCTCCATTACAGGCGCCTGGAAGGAAACACAGAGTATCATTAGGAAAAAAGTAATTCCCACAATTTACGGAACAAAATTATTTCCTTGTTCCCATCTAAAGGAACAAGATCCTGTTTTTCTCAAAATAAATAATGAGGAACAGTAAACTCACAAGTATACATTTCGAATAAAATACTGAGACTAAGAGTACTCTGACAGGGTGGCTAGTTTTCTCAAATTTAAGAATTTCTGCCTTTCCCCTGATTTATCATGGTGAAGAGCACAAAATACGTCTGATTTGTAAGATTTTAATAACTCCCAAAAGCGCACAGTAAAAGAAAATTTTCAAGATTCGGCAGCAGAATTTCTTGACTTTTTACAAAAAAGTAAAAATGTCTGGATTTCCAAGGATTTTCTTGACTTTTCAAGCTCTCAGAACTCAGCCTGGAATATTTAAATTGTGACTTTCCTAAATATTAAGCTAACAATCAGTGCTTTCACTTTTGTGGTTCTATACCACACAATTTTATTTTCCAGGTAAGTGTGTATTGAAGAATCAATTTAAGATTTCTTATTTTTTTTATCAAAATCCCAAAGTGACATAAGAAAATAGATTCTGGTTGAAAAAGCGTTAAAAATTCTAGCGATAATCTTCATTGAAGACACGATAAAAGAGAGGCTCAACCAAAAAATTAAAAAAAATGAGATTACTTAAGGAAGAGGGAGTTACAAAGAGATAGTTTTAAAAGCATTAACAATGTTAGATCCAAATTAGAATCCAACCTTCAAAGGAGGGTTGTATATGCATCTTCGCAAAACACATCGGCATTTTAATTTTTTTTTTTTTTTTTTGAGGTTCTGATTCCTGTTTGTTTATCATTCATCAGCTTCCAGTTTTTTATTTTGGTCCTAAAAACTTTCAAGTTGTTCTTATTTCTTTTTCCCTTCAACAAGCATCATTAAAAACATGAGGTTTCCACTGCAAAAAGAATTTGATGTTGAAAATGTATCATAGCTGTTTTTTAGAATCAAACGAAGTGGTCGTAACTCAGTTGTTTTGACTTCGTTACTTACTTTTAGTTGTCTCTAGCAAATATTTTCAATTTTGTCCATTTTCTGAGGATTGATTTTCGCCAGCTTGTATTCAGCTATGTAAAGTAATCAATACTCTATCATGAAAACTTTGGGTCTTTTGTCCAAAAAAAAAAATTATCTTCACTTACCCGATAGGGGGAGGGACAAGTAAAATTTGACCAAAATTGAAATTTTACAAAACACGGTTGCATTATTACAAGGATATATGCTGAAGAGTTGGTGGTTGAAATTTTGGTAAAGAGTCATTTGTACTATCCTGATCTGCAGTCCTTCACAAATTTGATGCGGAGACAGACAAAAAAGTACAGTAATAGAAGAAAAATTAATGGACCAAAAATCATGCTCTACTGCTAAAAATGGCACATGCAGCCGAAGTAACATTTTGGTCGATTCCTATCCTTCTAAACATAATGAGGAAGGCCAGCATAAAACTCACTCATAAATTGCATTACATGTTCAAGACTCTTGAACTGAGTATGAACTGAGGTTCTTTCCCCCTCAAATTGGCAAGTTCCCATCAGAGGCATTTCAATATTGTTTTATCTCTCAACTGCTATCAGTAAATTAATCAAATTACTTTGTATTGACAGATTACACAAAAGTTGATAGAGAGAGATAATTACAAATGTGTAACTCTTTTGTTGCTGTTAAATTGCAAATTTTCAAAAGTTGGACAGAAGGACTTAAGAAATTAAAGTCATCGACTAAATTGATTGAAAGTATTTAAGGGAGCTGTCTAAACTAAGGAGCAAAAAGACCAGAGACTTGAAAAGCAAAGACATAACTCCAGAAAAATGCTGAAACTATGTCGAATTTCCTATTTTATTAATCTTCTTTTACTTGATTGAATTTCAGTATGTACTAGCTGCTCCGGGTGCCCTCCACAGCTAGCAATGGTGGTGCAGTAGCTTAATTGGAATCGGAGCAATTAGTTGAATCTATATAATAATGATGAATAAAATGTCTATAACAATACGTTTTGTTAGCAATACGCAAAACTGCAGTTAATAAGTCAGGGTCAGTCAAGCCGCAGAGAATAAGATGCCAGGATATCAAGAAGCTGTGAAGCGGAGCAGCCGAGAGATTGCGAAGGAATGTGGGTGGCGAGTGACGAACGATGATGCCACCCAAACCTCCTTCTTTGAGGTCGGTGGGAGGAGAGCTATACGAAGGAAAACGGAGATAGCCGAAAGAACAAGGCAGGAGGGGTGGCTAAGACCGTAGAGGGGGGGTACCTAGGGACGGGCAAGCAGGTAGCGGCCGGACGACCGCTCGAAACAGCTGAACTTTACTCGTCGATAAAAGTAAGAAAATTTGAGAAAATCAAAAAAACAATTATAGGCCTGCAAATCTACAGATCAAAAGCTTTCATTTCAAAAAAAACCATGCAAATCGGTCCGGTGGTTCTCTCAAAGTTAATGTCCCAAAATTCGGACTTTAGTCTGAATTATTAATGGGAGAAAATTTGAGCCCAGCTAAACTTCACTCGTCGATGAAAGTAAGAAAATTTGAGAAAATCGAAAAAACGATCACAGCCTGCAAAATCTACAGATCAGAGGCTTTCATATAAAACAAAAATCATGCAAATCGGTCCGGTGGTTCTCTCAAAGTTAACGTCTAAAGATTTGGACCTCCGTTTTAATACATTGGTGAAAATTTGAGAAAATTATAGGAGAAAATTTGAAAAAATCGAAAAACAAATTACAGCCTGCAAATCTAGAGCTCAGGGACTTTCATTTAAAAAAAAGATCAGGCAAATCGGTCCGGTGGTTCTCTCAAAGTTAACGCCCAAAGATTCGGAGCTTTGCATTTTAATATATAATATATAGGATAATTTGACTAAACAATCAGTATACAATGCTGTGAGGAAGTAGTGTGCTTGCCTTGCGTTTGCGGTGTGAATCAAAAGTTGGGGGTGGCCCAAGGAAGGTTTGACGACAACCTGCTGACTGCTTTGCTGGTTTCTTCTTTGGGCTGGGTGCATTTTCTTTGTCTTCTGCAGTGTGCGGTCGCTTTTCTGCCACTAGGAACGTGTTTTCATTTGACACAGCATTGATCTGTTCTTTGTTGCGTAGCGGCATACGCTGCTTTGGTGCTGCTATTTTTGGTGAAGTTACAACCACACGGTTCGACAGGACTTTTGTGCGTAGAGATGCTAGTTTTTTGCCAACACGACCTTTTTTCTGTTGAAGAAAAAAAGAGATGAAAAATTTGATTCTCAAGTCCTCAGTTGATGGATAGACATTTGGACCATAAATTGACTGATGATATGATGGGTTTTACAAAAGGCAAATTGATCCACCAGTCAACAGGTGATTTGATTAGTCCATCAAAAGGAAATTTGATCTGTTAATCAAAACAGATTTTAGTGATCAAAGGACTCCTATATGATCGTTGGATTAACTTTGCTTAGGGGTCAACCAATTTTCGACTAGAGAGGGAAATCGAGACATTCTCAGTTAGACTGAATTTTATATTTCATTGCAGATAAATCTGCTACTTATATATTAGCAACATTTCTTAAACTGAAGACAAATAGTTAAGTGGTATGACTTATCAATTCGGCTTTATTGATCAATGGACAATTCAACTTTATTGATCAATGGACGATTTGACTTTATCGATCGACGGATGATTCAACTGGTCAATCTACAGAAAATTCTACTGGGAAATCAAAAAAATGACTCCACTGGCCAATTGATAGATGATTTGATTAGTCGATTGACTTGTGGAATAGGCTGTGGATCAACAAGAGGAATTGTCCAATTCCAACAAGGAGGAGCATTAGCAGTCTAAGATAGGTTTCTCCCAGTTTCACTTTTTGAATGGGAAAGAGTTCAAACACGTCCTAAATTTTTCAATTATAAACTGTTTATTGTGAAAAATCTCAATCATACTAACCTTGATTGGCGACACACACGTCCCAGTCACAATTATTTCTGAGATTTTTTTATTCTTTTTCGCATCCTTCACATGCACCACATGGCGGAATCCATCTGATTTAACTGGCTGCCATGTTAAAATTAATGTTTCTTGAGCACATGCTGGTACCGTGAAAATCGATTCACTCAAGATCAGGCCTGCGTCTGGCTCTGGGAGTTTGTCAAGAATGATCTGAAAAGTCGTTAAGTTTGGAAGATGTGAATCACAAGGGGCACAATTATTTGAAGAATAAATCTTTTTCTCTTCTAGGTCTTGAAGACCTGGATAAGTTCTTGTCTACCAAACTAATGTTAATTGGAGCAGCAATATTATAAAATCCACTTGAAGGAAGATTTAGAGATAGAGAGAAATTTGTTACCAGAAAATAATTTACACAAAATCATTTTAAAAAAACCTTCCCTCTATGCGATTTTTTTCTGATTAATCTGTAAAAAATTGTTGGACTAGAGAAATTGTGGTGAAAAATTGTGTAGGTAGTCATCAACAAAGTATTTACTCTGACACCCTAAAAAATGAATTGGACATGGTCTAGTTCATTACTCTGCCAATGGCGAGTACAATGTAACATTTAAATCTGACTATTTTAAGCACTGAGTGTCAAAGAGATTTTACATAATTTTTCAGGCACTTATTCTTTCTGACACAAGAGCCAGATTGGGTGCATTTTATGCGTAGTGTTTAATGAAGTTGTGAGACTGGAAGAATTTATAATAGTGCGGCTTACATGTAACGGTACAGCTCCAGGATTTCGAATGATGACAGATTTTGTTCTCGTTTCGGTAAGTTTGGTCTCCTCAAAGAAAATTTTAGCAGGTGGGTTGAATGGTGCCAGAACAAGGACCAATGGAGTCTCATCTTCTGGGTGACCTTTTGTCTTGTTTGGCCTTGGTGGGGGAGTAAACTGTAAAGAAGTGGAAAAAAATTTTTAAAACACTTTAAGAGGAGATTCAAAACAAATATCAATAGCATTTGACAAGGTAAAACAGCATGGTTGAAATTGTGACAGTATTCCTTGATCTTCCATACTGTCATCAAATTATTTCCAACAAAAAACCTACAAATAAATTAGAAAATTTCACCGGAGGAATTTGATCCAGGGATGCAGAAAGTGCTAGATCCGCCGATCGCAGACCAATCATGGGGCAAATGTGAAGGCACCTGAAAAGGGGTAAAAACATGTAAGGCCACTCGAAAAGGGAAGAAAAAGTGAAGGCAGAGAGCATGAACCTGCTGAGCACATTATTGAGAAGGAGTAGTATTGTGTAGTGCGCTCTCTTGTGCGTAGGAAACAGTGAGACACGTAAGTCTTATTTGGACAGCAATGTGGAGGCAACCTCAAAAAATGCAATGGCTGCCTCCAAAAATATGAAGGCGAAGAACTTTCTGCACCCTTGATTTAATCTAAACTTGTAGGCTTAGGCTAAGGCACTTATGATCACTATTCTCCTAAACATTTTTGAGTCATAAGTCCTGCAGTAATGTGAAATTTCGGTAGGAATTAGATCTCATGCCAAGTAAGTTTACCAACATTTAGAGTTGAAAATAAGACAGCTAATTTTCTGTTACACTCAAAATAAACTTGCTTGGTGAGGACTCTGCCTACTCTACCCTTTAAAATATTTAAAGCTTCAATAAGTATCGAGGACAATCCCATTCTGAAAGAAAGGATGCCATTTAAGGAGGGCAATTATCTCTTCGTCAGTATTCTAGGGTTGACCTTTTTGAAGGGCAATTTTGGTACCTAAATTTCCTGGAGTTTTTTAATAAATCTCCTTTCAGAGAATTTTGCTTCCTCCCAACAGCTTTTGGTCCCCTTCACGATTCAGCTGAGATAACTCGCTTGTCTGAAACATCTGTCAGAGGAAAATGAGCATTGAAAAATGTAGGTTCTTCTACTTCCGTTTCTTTCGACTCAATTGCATTTTTTTCGTGAATGTCTTGTAAAACAAGAAACACTTATAGCGGAATGTTCATTATGCAGCAATGTGAAAAATTCAAATCCTCAAGATGGCGATAAACACAAGAATTAAATTCTTGTTCTGCCAGATAGAATTCATCCTAACTGTAAGGACGTTCTTTCGTTCAAGTTACCATGTTACTTTCCACGTTAATCGACAGCACTAGGAAAAAGTGTGAGTAACATACCTCTAAGAATTGGGATACGGCTGCCATCTTAAGGTTGTATTGACATCAATTCCAAATGATCAGACTTCTGCATGCCCCATTTCCTGCACCTAAGTTACATAATTTTTACATTATATGAAATAATCTCCAAAAGATTAAATCTAATACAGCTGATGAGCGTTGGCAATTACAAATTTAACTACTTACTCATTCAAGTATATTAATCAAATTTCTGAAACGCCAAAAACACAGGCATCTACTAACGATGAACATGACTATTAAAGCTGATGACCAATTATGTTTCGTAAGTCATCTTTTATTCTTAGGATTATTGGTTAGAAAACTGTTACATTGAAATTCAGATAATTTTGAAAGTAAAAATGTGAGATTTTGAAGGTTTGCAACGAGGGATCATTAATATTCAATTGTGGTTTGAATGGATATAATTTAAACCAGTAGAGTTCAAGTCAGGTAAGTTTGAAAACTTGCAGTAAGAGGTGGAAGATCCCTCACCTTAATTGTCCCGTTTCTTAAAATAGTGACACAGGAATGGCATTTATTCTGTTAATTTGAAAGTCAGCTGACCAATTTTAAATTATTCATAGCTAATACCTAAAGCCTTGTCTCCAAAGGTGGTTTTCAGAGGATTTGTTGTGGCAAAAAATCTCACAAAGTGGGGACAAATTTCAATTTACTCGACATTAATTGTCGTTCAAACTTCCGAGAGAAACTACTGAGAGCCATAGGAGAAGTAGAAGCAAATTGTGTGATACTTTGTTGTCCCCTTGGTGTTCGTTTAACTCACCTTCCTGTGCAAACCAAGGTACACTCTACTACAGGTATGGACAAATGGGGTGCCGAAGTGGCAGCGCTGAGAAAATGGGCGATCGAGTGACGTATGAAGTCGTACCGTCCATTTGCCGCGCAGGTTTTCGCAGTCGTACTCTCGATGCTGTCAAATCCATGCGTTTTGACGACTTTCTAAAATTCCATTTGTCCATACCTGTAGTAGAGTGTACCTTGTGTGCAAACTTGTTATAGGAACATGGGAGTCTTGACCTGTAGGGATGGGAAAGGCGAAAAATTGCCAAAGATCCATTCGTGGAATTCATTATAACCACAATAAATCTCTCAGAAACTATCCAAGGTGTCATGGCACAAGAGTAAGAGTTTATATCTCTTCACAGAAATGATCACTTCAATGAAACGTAAGGAACCTGTTTTTAGTGTACAGGAGCCGACTCATATCGAGATTCGAGTCATTCTCTGCGCGGTGCCTGATCAGAATCCTAAGACAAGGGTATGGGTACATACTATTTACACTATTGATGACTGTTCACGCAAACAGGATTATGTTTCAGATTTAGGCTCAATTTCAACATTCTATGAGCATGTTGTAACTCTCATATGACGCAAGTTGAATTGACAGAGAAAAATTCCAAAGACTTAAAACATAATGTACTAGGCCCTTTACAAATTCTGCAAATTTTTCGGAGGAAAAGAGAGAAAGAGTAAGCAATTTCGGGTGATGGGTGATGAAAAAACATTCTCTCATGAGCCAAACAACTGAAGAGCATAACACATGTCGAATGTGGCATACTTGTGATAATTGAGAGTAACGCTTGATAAATTCGGGTTCTAAGAGTTCTAAACCGACTTACCCGAAAATTCTCGATTCCTACAATTTACAAAACTAATGCAGAAAAGAAATAAAAAGCGAGGCAAACAGAAACTGGAGTGTCTGGACTGATGCAGGAGCAGGAATCGGGATGCTGGATGAAAAATGATAACGGATAACGGCCATTGCATTGCATTGCACGCGCATTCACAACAACAATTTTTGAACCGACCAATCAGACGGCACCTTGTACCGTTCGCTAGGTAACGTTGCCGCTTAGTGTATATTTATTTATGAATTATGCTTTATCAAACACAAATCTGATAAGTGATAACACATGGCGCAAGCGCTGCGCTTTGCAATGCAATTGCAAACGAGGGAACAAAGGGGGGGGGGGGGGNNNGGGTTATTCTTCCTCCTTTTCTTCTTCTTTTTTTAGCTTTTCTGATTCGGTGCTACTTTTTACTTTACGCCGTACACAGTCACAGTCCACGTTATGTAAGGACAAAAAATGAAAAACATCCCCTTTTAGAATCCGTCGCTGCGCTTCTGCAATTTACCTCCGCTCCCTCCCCCTCCCCCCACCCGAAATTTGCTGCCGGGGGTTGCGACCCCCTCTATTCCCCCTAAATGTGGCACTAAGCGGCTACTACTTACGACGGTAGACAAGGTGGATGGAGGAAGTGGTGTTGGCTGCAGGTGCTTGACACAAAGCCACTACACAACAGAAAAAAAAAAACTAGGGGAGCGAGAAAGTAAAAAGTGTTCGTTCCCCTTCGATGAGAGCTATTGGGGGCTATTGTGCCCCTAACTTCATTATCTAAATTGCAACTATATTTTTGATAAATACGTATCGATGGAAAGGGTACTGGCAAAGAAAAATATATTTATTAAAAATAATAATAATAATAATATTAAGGAGGGGAAAGGGCGATGACGAGCGGGGGGGGGGGGGAGAAGAAAAAATATCAGACTTAAAATATAATCCTGAAATAAAGTGAAAAAAAAATAAACGGTTAAAGTTCTCATGAGTTATGTGTAATCAGGCTGCAACTCAGAACTATTGATCAATAGGAGCCTCCGATTTTCGCTGACAAGTCCATGTTTGTTTCTCTCGTTTTCTTTTCAATCCTTCCTTCGAAATAACACCACTTTCTGGGAGTATGTCAGGAGAATATGTTTCCTTCACTATCTTCATCTCGTTTTTGAGATGTTCACCATACTTATTTCTTTTTATTATTACTTATTTTTTTTCTCGAGCAACACATTATTAGGAACAAAGTAAGTAGAGTATTTTCAAAACTCTGACAGGTTACACTTGAATGAGGCATGTCCGCATGACGGCATGACATGAATACATAATAATCAGCTCTTCTCCTTCCATCATCCAGTACGCCTTCAATTCGCTATGCGGCAATTGTTGCTACCTACAAAAATGTTGAGCCATGAGCGCTGCACTGGTGATTTTAATGTATTCCAATACCTTCCTCTATAAAAGACTTTTAAGTTTTAAGCAAGACATTCCGTCGAGTATGTACGAATAGTGGCTCTGCTCTAATTAAGTTACAAATAGATTAAGTAGCGTAAGTCTTCGACATTTTCATTGCCGTTAATGAGTTAGTGAAAGGTGATATTCAAATTGTTCGCGGTCATTTTTTTCCTCCACTCACCGGTGTCAGACCCCCGACTTCCAGCACTCAGCTGTCGTCGGAAGGTTTTTGTTTTTCTTCTCACGTTTGAAATTTTAACCGCCGTTTCCGCGCCTTGTGAATTTTATAATCATGAAATTTTCCTTTATTTCTGAATTTTCAATATATTTATAAAGTGTTATAAGTGCAAATAACTTTCAGGTCCACGATGGAACCAAATATTGAAGATCTCAATGGCAAGTCCTGCATTTTCGATGAAACGTAAGCGCAAATCGCCTTTGTTTTGACCTCACTAACCTGCACTTTTATCTGTCTTTACAAGAATGAAAATTTATGATGAACTCTGTCATCGCATTCGTTTATCGCGAAAATATTGGCAAACTGAATGCTTATGACTTCACTTACTTTAATTCAGTCACTTTTTGACAGTTTCACTCTTGTTACTTGGGTGTTACTTCATCTGCAACGAGATGGTGTAACCTTTGAACTTGCATCGATCCCTCGTCAACTAGGATGAAAGTAGATAATGTCATCATTCTATTTATGCACTTTACTAACAACAATTTTGCAATTTATTATCATTCGCTCAAAATTTTGCTGGATCCATGAAGTAATTTTGTTTTTTCATCGAAGTATACCAGCTGACCTAAGATCCTTTGATCTTTGAACCCATTTTTTGACCTCTGAGACTCTCACTCTCAGCTGGTTCTAACGTGTCTGGTTCAATTTGACTCTTTGTCCAAGCGAAACTGTGAGTGTTCGATAATTATGGAGTTTTTAGGGCTTGTTTGAATTTTATGGTCCAAATGACTCATTCAACTCTAGTGGGGAATTTTGAAAGTAAGGCCCGGTTCTGTCACCTCTTGATACACATTTATCCTCCAGTTAAAATCTAACAAACACTATGGGTACTTGTTACATTTTAACCAGTGACTAGAACCGTCAGTTCCAAAATGTTCCATCAGAACTGGAAATGTAATCTGAACTGGATAATGTTTCACTCAAGCCCTAAAATCCTTTTAAAAATAAGTTTTTGTACAAAAAAGTTTAATTTAACCAGAGGTGATGGAACTGTTCCGAAGTGTCTAAAATTAAAGTTATTAGGCACTCTACGTCCCCATCTAACAATAAGAGGTTTAATTTATCTCAAGAGGTGATAGAGCCTGGCTTTAGGCATTTGTATACCAGATTACTTTTCCCTCTAGTGATAAAACTAATATTCTATCACTTATTTCAAATCCTTGGAGAGATAAGAAAATCAAATTTTTTACACTGTCATTTATGTAATTTTCCAACTCCAGACCATGAAACTAAAAGGGTCGATATAAACTGCAATGCAACGATGGCTAGACTCAGGAACTGCATCTTTTACTCAGTGTAAGATGCTGCAGACCTCTAATAATACCCAAATTTTTCCATTGAAAACCTGATCGACTTATTGTATCTCAGGATTCCTCTCCTCTGTTAGAAGAAAATTCTTCAAACATTTAAAGTATCAAAGTTAGGTAATTACCCTTTACAAAATCAAATAAAGGCAGAAATATTAATATGGTTTTTCAAAAAGCTGTAGCTTAGCCTTTGTAATAAAAACTATTCATTTAAAACCTCAACTATGTACCATGTATGTAATTGTAAACTGTGCTGTAAAAATTATTAAATTTGGACCTAATCTAAAATTTACCTTTGCCATTGCACTAGCCTTCGTCCTTTGTCTGCAGTTGCGTTGGATGTAAACTTAACCAGCATTCAGCAGATGAAATTTTCCTAATTTTATCATCTAACTTCAGTAACCGCTGTCATATTCGTTATTTTCACCCTTAGATCGATACTCTCAAAAATCTCAGAGTTAGCTTCAGTATCAGGAAATATAGCAATAAAAAGCGATGAAAATTGAAATGCTATTATTACAGCCCATTCAGACTAGTGAGACCCAAAGTGACTTTTCTCGTTCAAAGTCAAAGTATGAGTATTCATCCCTCTGATTAAACTCACCAATACATGACAGATCTCAATCAGGAAGGAATTTTTGACATGCAGAACCGCTTAGAGCCCCTTCCATCTTTCATGCTATCTCTTTTTTTGACTAAACATTTAATAGGTAAGAAAGAAGGAAATTAGATTTTCATGTACCCATTCGATTTTTTTGATTTTTTTTTTTTTTTTTGTAGGAAAGAGTGGTTGTCTGCACCGCCTATGCGCCTCTTTCTATTTAAGTTTTTTTGAAGGGAAGGAGTGATAGTCTGCACCATCTATAAGCCCCTGTCTATTTAATTTTTTTTTTAAGGGAAAGAGTGGTAGGCTGCACCGCCTACGGGCCCCTGAATTGAAAATTCCTAGTTCCACCAATGATAAAAATCGTTTTACATATTTATTTTGCCGATTTTTGACACCCACTCACCTCATGTAACGCAATCCATACACCCCTAAAATAAGTACATATCACTTGCTTTGATCCCTCCCCCGTTTCCAACAAGATCAAGCTCAAGAGTGATTTTCTCACTGAAAACTAGGGGAGGGCGTAGCTTCTGTCAATAAAATCAGTTGTTTTCAAAAGGGGCAGGTCAATTTCTAGATGAGTCTCAGTTATAGCATGTTCTTTTATGCAACTTGAGGCTCATGCCAAAATAGACTTGTTCCCTTTTGAAAACAACCGATTCAATTAGAAGGATATGCATTCCAAGAAACAAGAGAGAACAGGACTGGGCTGCAAAATGTCGCAACCATGATCTTTCCTTTTTTTTTAAACAGCATACCGGCTAATCCCTTTCCGAATTTATATGCTTGTGAAGTTAACAGGGTGTCTAGCATCAGGATTTTCCCGATTCCATCAGGATTTGAGGTCAATCAGGATTCAATTCCGATTTCATCAGGATTTGAGGAAAAATCGATCGTAAAATCAGGATTTGAGGATAGTCGGCCGTCTGATGGGACTTCTGACGCATACGCTTATGCAGAAATTTTAATTTTTTTAAACAATTAGGATTTGGAAAAATTATGAAATCAGGATTTAGCAGTCAAAAATCAGGAAAAATCAGGATTTCCCATAATGAGAATAAAACCTCGACACCCTAGTTAATCACCAGCTCGCGTCGCCGCTCGCGTGAGAATTGGCAAAGACTTTTCAAATTCAGAAAGGCTTCCCCCCTCCACCACCTATTTCGATCAATTTTGGGAAAAAACTATAAAGCATATTGATTTCTGTGTTGGGCGCCTTTCAAGCGCACCGATTCACATAGAGGCACAATTTTAACGAAACACGAAACTTTGGGGAAGGAAAATTACAAATTGAGAACGGCTAAAAACTCTGCACTCCCGGAACAGTTCGTAAAAAATTAGCATGTTCAACTTAAAAAGAATCAGAGGAAAAAAGTTGAAATCCAGTATGAACGTATCGTCACGTAACGCTGAGCTTCACATTGTCACTACATACACGCTTGATCCCAAAATTATGAAGACTCAGCCTACCTTTAGAGCGTTACGTACGTAATTTGGACCGAATTTTAGGAAAGAAAACAACCCAAGTTTTCGAAAAAATCGAGTTAAGAATGTATTCGAGCTCCACTAGCCGTGTATTTTCTCTTGCTAAAAACTGGAAGTCGAAAAACAGAAATTAATTTGTGAAAAGAGAGGTTAAAGTTTATTTTCTACATTGAGCCTTATGCAAGTACGAAACTTCAAACCTCTTTTTCTCAGTTTCAACTTAATATGTGTTGGTTATCCTCTCTGATGAACTCGGTCGATTTATGGACAGCCCTGCTGTATGTCGTCACCTTCCGGTCAAAGTATCACAAGCGCCATGCGACGTTTCAAAATTTCCGCCGCGATTTTATTTTTTTACAGAGAAATTGTTGGTTGAATCTATTTGAACATTTCACTGAATTTTATCGGCAGTGCAAAGAAAATTCAGTGAAATTTTCGGACAGCTTCGTTGAACAATTTCTCTGTAAAAAAATAAAATGACGGTGGAAATTTTAAAATGTCGCATGGCGCTTGTGATACTTTGACCAGAAGGTGACGATGTGTTAAAAGTATAAGGCCAAAATACAAACGATGTCATTGTGTAATCTACTTTCCATTTGATCTATAACTATAACCAGGGTGTTTACAAGTCCGGAATTTTCGGAAAGTACGGAAATTCTACTGATTTTTTAAGGGCGGTCCGGCAGTACTGGAAAAGTGCGGAATTCCGCAAGGAGGTCCGAAATTTTTTTCATTCTTTTGTCGTCATTTTTGTCGCAATTTGAGCGGGAGATTCAAATTTTTGAAATTTGCCGAATTTCGTCAATTGGAGGTACTGAAAAAGTACTGAAGTTTTCTGTTGAGGAGGCACTGAATTTTCTGGGAATGTACTGAAAAAGTACTGATTTTTGGCCAACCTGTTTCAGTAGACACCCTGATAACTTGCTGATGCATCTTGCTCCGGTGATAATTTTCGAGCCTCCGGCTTCCAATCTCGTGAATCGTTTTCCACGCAAGTTTTCTAAAACATGCAATTTTTTTTCTAGTTCAGGCCGTGTCTTATGGCCCATCCTTCGTCTACAGCCCTCAAAGACTCAAATTCCCTCGCTGATTCCGCGGTATAAAGCACGAAGTGCGGCAACTTGCTCAACGGCGCGGCGACGCTCTTTGCCGGGGTAAATTTAGACCCGGGGACCCCCTCCCCCCTCCCTCTGCCCACCTGTCCCGAAAGGCCGGAGCCAGCGAGCAAGAAGCGAGGGGTGCATCGATTGCGAGGTGGGCACGAGGCGAGGGGTTTCAACTTGCCGCCCCCCCCCCTTTTGCCTGACGTTGGATGCTGCGCGCGCTTTATACGGCCCAGATTCTCATTCTGAATGAATCGTATTCGATAGTGGCTCGATGTATTGTTTGGTTCCAAACAACAGCACATAATCTACACAAAAATTTTAGGATTTGAGTTGGAAAAGCTGAAAACGAGAGAATTCCCAACAATTTCATTTTTCATTGTCATGTTTTACATACAAGATTCAAAAATCTATCACAAAAAACCCGTTCCCCCAAATTCCTAAATTGACTTTTGAGGCTATGTTTACGTGTTGAACCAATCGATGTCGATACAATCTCAACTGTTTGATGTATCGAATACGATCTAGGGACTGGATCCTCAAGATCCGATCTTTCGCGGATTCGCTCCCAATGAACGGATCGGATCGGATCGGATCGGATTTCTGGCCAAAAATTAGGTTAGATTATTCCTGTAGTTTTTGCTATTTCGAGAAATACGTGTTAGAAGTTTCGAAATTAAATGGATCCTCATGGCAAGAAGCAAGTTCAAACTGACTCTTTTATGCTTAAAATTTTTGATTAGGGACACTGGAAAAAAAAAAAAAACGCAATAGTGTATTTCCTTCGGAAAATACACTAACACATTGGATCTGGATTCCAGACTCTTGAAAACATTGACAAGAAAAAATACTCTTGATTCAATCGGATTTTTGCACGAATGAAAACAAAATCCGCTTAAATTAAGAGGCTTGGTTCTTGATTTAAGCTAGATTCTGATTGAATCAAGAGTACGTTTTCTTGTCGATGTTTTTAAGAGTCTGGACTCCAGATCCAATGTGGTTTTTTTCCAGTGGAGCTAATTTTTCACAGAATATGCATCAAGACTGGTTTTACTTGAAAACATTAATATCTCAAGTTTTTCAAAAACTACACTGATGCACCTTGTCCCTCAAAATAATGAAACTCACAAAATTCATTCAAAAATTATTTCATAAGTTGGAAATCAGGAAAGCTACGAAAACCTGAAATTCGTGGACCGATCAGAGAGCGACACTTTTTTCTGCGGTAGAAGGTTTGAGATGGCAATGAATTCTCATCATATGTGCTGTGTTATTCGGGTACAATTACATTAACTTACGACAACCTTTATGCGTTTCCGGGAAGGTAAGAATAGCGGTAGAGCCTTCAATTTTCGTACATGCAACACGCACATCCGTAGGACACGAATAGTTGCATCAAGACGTGGGTACTCGCATCGTCAAAAATGTACTATCCGCTCGTCCAGATCGCCTAAAATTGCGTGTGATTTTATGGGCTGCTGTTTTAATTTAATTTTCGTTGCTGTTACTTGCTTTTCCTTAACTTTTAGTCAGTTTTTTAAAGTCTTATCGGTTTAATCAGCATTTCGGTGCTTTAATCTTTCGATTTTTCAAGAATTGGTAATATTTTATTGGTAGGGTTTGAGAGCTTTATCTAGGTATTTTGATGTTTGTAATTTTTGTATATTTTTGTTTTCTGGTCGAGGAGGGGGTTGAAACCACCCCAAAAATCCCAGGCTTTATGTTTTGTTGTTTTTTAGCTAACATCCTCTTGCACATTTTTTTTTTTTTTTTTTTAATCAAAGCCTGGCCTGAGTCGCAACCATTGCATAAATTTGTAAATTCGGCTAATAACTCAACTTTTGTTTTCTTCACATCGTGAGAAGCTGAAAACTGAAAAATCTTGATAATCAATTCAGACGTCGGAACCTAGTCACTTTCAATGTCTCCAGCAGATCATTTAATTTTCAGCAATTTTTAAGGCATAAATTCTACTCGTCAGTGTTATCGTTTTCGAGGTATTTGCGCTTAAAGCTCCACCAAGTGACGTCACATGACAACAGAAAAGATATCTCGCAATGTTCTCTCGTATCGAATCCCCGACGAGCGACTCGAAGCGCCGCTGAGTCACGCAGCGCGTCGCGAGCGGCTCCGTTCGACGCCGGCGCCTGCGCCTCTCCCATCTCATCTCTCTCCCTCGCAGCATCCCTCATCCGGACGTTCAGCTGACGAGTGAATTCCGTCCGGAGCCAGCGTCATCTCCGCGAGCTGCAAGCGTCCCATATTGCATTTTTCGTCGTTTCTTTTCCACGGTTTCGTGCCTTTATCAACGGCGATAACCGCACGAGTCCACCGCGAGAGTCGACCTTGTCGCCCTATCAGACCTCATTAAGCCTTTGTCATCCCGTCCAGACGCCACGGGTTAAGTGAGCGAGCGTTTTCGCCTTGTCCTTGTGCTTTCGCTGCGTTTACGAGCCCTTTAACTCGGGTCGACCTTTGCGCTTTTCGGAATCTCGTCGTGCCTCGACACCAGGAGTTTTTGAGGTGTTTTTGGTGAATTGTTTCGTGCGAATACTCTCAGTTTTCGTGCGAGTGGACAGCGTACATTAGTGTCGTCACAGTATCGTGTTTCAGTGTCCATAGACTGCTCTTCGCTCGAGAACTTATCTGTTATCAAGTCGAAGTATTTCCTGCTCGTCAATTGTTTTGGACTCCTTCCTCGTGAAATTGTGCACTGTCGAGCTGTGCATTTTTTCGCAATTGGTATTTGTTAAGTTGCGGAATTGACTTTAGTCATACTGACCTTTATTTGCGCGGGAAACGTATGCGTTTTGAATTTTTTTCGTGTCCTGAAATCTGTCCGTTCGTTTGCTCCTGCTCGTATTGCAAAAAGGACGAAATAAATAACATTCTTGTGGACTCCTCTTCTTAATCACGGAGCTTTGTGAATCACAGGTTCAAAAAATTTTACGCGGACTTTTGAACTGAATTGAATTGCATTGAATTGTACAACCACTGAATCGTGTTGTATACTATACAAATTATACAATTTTCCGTATTGTAACCTCTTCCTCTTTTGGATGAACCATATCGTGCGTTTATTAGATTACATTTCCTAGTCTCCTACGTCACCCGTATTGTACGTACAACCGTGGTACTTACACTTGTCGCAATGTGCGTTTTAACGTATTGTACGTCCCCTCGTATTGTAATTTCGTCGCTTTGAGCATTTACCCATATTGTAGGTTCGTCCGTATTGTAAAAAATGACAACTGCACGAGAACGTCGTCAAACAATCGAAGCTGCTTATGCACGCCGTACCACTGTTCCACCTGTACTCAGTTTGGTACTCCACGTGAGAGTACCCGTTACCCAGTGCTACCCTCTCATCGTCCGCATTTCTGACCTCACACGAAATGCCGTCAAAAAAGACGCTTGCTGATCGCCGAAGCGCAGAAGTATATCCAGCAGAAATCTCCTCCAAAGCACCATGAACTAAATTGTATGCTGTGATTAGAAATTTATGAGTGCTGAAAAAAAAGTAAAGCCAGATTTTTATCAGTGTGTGTGATGGAAACACGATTCGAACAGAATCGGGTGCTATTGTAGGTGGCTTTAGCAGCAGACTAAATCTGAATGGAATGTGAGTTTGCGATTCGCGCGACTGATGCAATTCCGCCCGGTTCTATCCTTTAGATGCGCGTTGAGAGATTGAGGGAAGCTAAGTGGAGCCCAGGTTTTTCGGAGATTTCGGGAACTTTCGGGATTTTCGGAATTGGGAGTGTCTTGATCGGAAATATCGGTTGGCGTAGACTTTCGGAGACATTTTCGGAGATTTTTTTTAACGGAGTGTTGAGGCAGTGGAGCCGCGCAGCATGCCTTTGTATCGTCCGGACTCACATCCGTCCCGCAGCGCACCGGATTTGAAACACCCTCAGGCTCACTCCTCAAGCAACAGGTGAGGCCGCGGGTATCCGCACGCTTACAAAAAATTGAAAATAGATCGTATTCGATACATCAAATGGGTGAGATTGTATCGATATCGATTGGTTCAAAACATAAACATAGCCTCAAAAGTAAATTCAGAAATCTAAGAGAACGGATCTTTTGTAACAGATTTTTTATTCTTTTGAGTACCAAATGCCCATGTAAAACGAAATTGTCAGGAAATTTCTCATTTTCAGCTTTTCTTACTTAAATCCCTAAAGTTTGGTTTGAGGTTATGTTCTATTGTTTTGAACCAAACGATACATCGAACCGTTATCGAATACGGTCTATATAGTTTGGATTGCCAGGGTGTCTACAAGTCCGGAAAAAGCACTGATTTTTTAAGGGCGGTCCGGAAGTACTGAAAAAGTGCGGAAAGTCCGCAAAAAGGTCCAGAATTTTTAAAAATTTTTGTCATTTTGGTCGCACTTACAAATTTTTGAAATGTTTCTAATGTCGTCCAATGGAGGTACTGAAAAAGTACGGAATTTTTCTGTTGGAGGTTGTCTGAATTTCTCGAGAATGTACCGAAAAAGTACTGTAATAGTACTTATTTTTGACCAGCCTGTTTTAGTAGACACCCTGATTGCAGTGAAAAAAACTCCAGGCGCGGAAGCCATACCTACGGCCTTCATAAACATGCTGTCCGTTCTAGGCTCAGGGACCGAAAGTTCCGGTTGGAGCACCCGTTGCTCCGGCTTCTCAATCCGTACCAGTCGAAGCTACTGCTCCAGCACCTGGAACTTACAGCCTCTCAGCCCGGAACGGACGGTATGTTTATACAGTCGGGAAGTACGGCTTTCATAGCCTGAGTTTTTTTCAGTGTGTTTGACACTTTCGTTCCAAAGCACGGAAATACGTGTGCACTGCGATAGGTTCTCGGAAAATCAGGAGAAACCGGAGGAAGTCTCGAGAAATCAAGCCCCTCTCCTCTTCCGTTTAAAGAAAAGTCAAAGATTTTTAAAGGTTTTAGTCAAGATCCCTGATAACTCAGGAAATTTTGAAATCCAAGAATGATGTAAATCTTTATGGGGAAGCGAACATATCATTGTAAAACCTACTGTAAAATTTTGCCAAAATACTTGTTTCCAATTTAATTTTTGGCAGAAGACAGATCCAATACGCCTTGAAGCAAAACTCAGCTGTCAAATCATAAAATATCTCGTATCGTAAAACCTGAATTGAAGCTGATATTTTGCCATTCGGAAAAGCGATCGTATACGATTTGACTAATCGGATGCAACATCCCGCGTTCGCCTTATTCATCTAGAGATTCCTGAGGAATAAACAGCTGAAATATGTTACTGGGCGTATTTGATCCATTTTTTGCCAAACATTGATAGTAAAAGACCGGGAATATAGAAAAATTCCGCAATTCTCCGATTTTTGCTTACTTTCAGTACAGGTTGCCCCAACAACCGCAATGATCAAATACCAGCGTCGTGTCGTGTTGAGTCGCAATGTGGTATTCAGTGAACACCCGTTTGCGTCGGAAAGTGACAGGCTAAATTGGACGCATTATGCTAAAACATACTATGTTACCCGCAAACCCTATCCACATAGTTCCTTTTAGCATAAATACGTTCAATTGGACGAATTTAGCGGGGTCAGCTTAACTGAATCGTACGTTGCGTAATTTCTTCTCATGTCCTTTTTTTGACGGCAAACTAAAACAGCATGACTTTCATATGACTAGAATGTGATCGGGATCAGCTCGTTTGGCTATTTTGCTTAAAGCAAAGCGTCGTATCTACAATCGAATGTAGCCAAATTTCTTTAAGTAAAATAAGTATTTTTCAGGAAAGTTATGAATATTTTCCCTTTAAATTTTTAGGTATCATAGGTGGGATTGCGAAAAAAATCCTCGGTCAAATTGGGAGACAGGTATTCTCAAGTACACCGAATAACTCGCGTTAATCGGAGGAAATTTGGCAACGTTCAAAGGCTCATACGGCATTCTTTCTTAGCTCTGTAGTCTTTCCGACCTTTTAAAGCGCGATAAATTCAGAAGGGTTAGAGAATCACCAGGATTTTTCAGAATCTTAAAGGATTTACCGCACAGAATCATCAGGTTATGTTGTTTATATCATGTTCAACCCTTCGAATCAAGTTAAACCCTTCAGACGGCGTAGTGACCGAATTAAACCATAAAAACCGTGTCGTTTAGCCAAATTCGGGGGAGGGGGGGTGGGAGACAAAATAATTGCGGGGGATGGGTTAGATGGGGCGGCAAAACATCTCCCGAAAAACGCTCCAAAATTATTATGAACTGACAGAAAATGTCTGACTGTTAGATTTAATATATAATGGAGTTGTTGCATGTGTGAGCAATTTGCGATTTGACTGTTGATTCTCGTGTAAAAGTTCGCGAGAAACACGATGGTGCCACTGGTTTTCTCTGAAATTAACTCCTAAGCTCAAAAAAAGCTCTCAAGTTGAGGCCAAAATGGAGGGGATATCCCACCCTACCCTGAGGGTCCACTTCTACACCAAGACAAACTCTCCATGCAAAGATAGGGAACAAATACATTGACAGGGCTGCCACCTTATTTGGAGACTCTAAAACTGAAATACCGGCAACCCTGTCAATGTATTTGCTCCCTATCTTTGCATGGAGAGTTTGTCTTGATGTAGAGGAGGACTCTCAGGGTAGGGTGGAATATCCCCTCCATTTTGGCCGCAACTTGAGAGCTTTTTTTGATCTTGGGAGTTGATTTCAGAGAAAACCAGTAGCACTTTCGTGTTTCTCGCGAACTTTTACATTCGAATCATCATCTCCATTGCAGCCAATTATTAGTCAATTTTGCTGGGTAAAAGCGACAGAGAAAACACACAAAAGTCAGTTTGTCGGGCAAAACGGGAAAACTTTGAGAAAATTTGGAGAGAAAGGAGTTGAAAGTATTTTTGATTCTACAGTCAAAAATACTCTCAACTCATTTTTCTCCAAAATGGGACTCGATGCGTTTCCGTTAAACTGGGTCCAAATGCGTGCTCCATTGAGAAGAACGCAGAAGTTTGCTCTGACGTGCGCAATGCGCATCGTGATGTTTTGGCGGTTTCACACACACACAAAGTCTCATGCCTGAGAAGCAGGCATGAGACAGCAGGCATGAGAGCTGAGGCTGTCTCAGGCATGAGAGCAGTCTCATGCCTGTATCACCTAGTATGCAACTAAACAGATTCATTGATTAAATTGAGCCCTAAGGAATCGGAGCTTTCTACGACGAAGCAAGGGATCTGCCCATTGGATAGCGGCCGTCGGCGGCATGCCAGGATTCCCTCCACGAATACCAATGTAATTGAAAGGGCACTCACGCAGACCCCCTATTTTTCTAGCAAACTATTCAGAGGGAGGGGAGATTTGGGCTGTACAGCCCCAGGTTGCAAATTATGGAAACGAGGTGGCAGATTTCGGCATTTTTTTCAGGCCATTTTATCACGGTTCGAAATAAAATTACTCAAAATATGTAAGCAAAACAAAGTAAAAAAAGAACCTTATCATTTTTGAAATCTGAGAGAAGTGAACTTCATATTAACTTTGGACCGCTAACTCGTATAAAACTTTACGAACCCCGAACTCAGGACCACCGACCACACACTACCGGCTATCCCTGACGGTAGAACCTAACACATCGGAATTGAAAGCCTTCGAGCTACTAGATTCTAAACCCCGGACAACTTTTCAACTAATTTGAATACCCCGAAATGAACCATCGACGCAGTGTTTTTACCCTCCCTCGTGAAAACTTTCATTACTCATTAATGCACTTATTATAAAAATAGATTACAAAAAGGCTGGCCATGGGAGGTCACGCGACCTCTTTTGGCTCGCCTCTTTGTCCGACTAAAATGTGAGTCAAAATGTCTGCATTTAAAATTCTAAAAAAAAATCCAAATTTGAGCGCTCCACCCCTGTTTTCTTACGAGTACAGATCGTGAAATAGGTAGCAACCTTTCATTCATTCTCGATCACATGCCATGTTTCTTATTTAAAGTGTTCGTATAACTCATGAACGTTTGCATCTTTTGTTTCAGGACCTGTAAGTATTTTGTTGCATTTTTTCTACCAATACCCAACCAGGAGCGCGTAAGTAACACTTGGATGAAACTTTTTACCGTTCCAATTTAAAGGTTCCATACTATATCCATGATGGCATCGAGTGACATTTTTATAAATACACACATTTTAGAATCGGAGAACTCAAGAAGAGCCAAAGTCTCAAAGAACAACAGTTGCCAAATATAATGTTAGAATCCGGTTTCCAACTTAAAAGCACCAGTTTACGGTTTTTGAAACTAAAATACTTTTTCAACTCAAACCCTGAGTTATGGTGGCTTAAAGTCAGCAATTTAAAAAAAATATGTAGTTTCGAGAACCAGGCTTTCAAAATTTTAGGATGCCTTTTTCACAGCATGGTCGCAAATTGTAATGTAACATTACGCCCTCTAGTGACATAATCATTAACTGAACTTGCAACTTACTTATTCTATAGTAATTTTTACTACTTTTATGCTCATACGTACAGGATACTTGATGCTTAGTCTATATTCTCGAACGGCTCTCTGCAGGAATTCTTTTGTCGATTTTTGGACCAATTTCGACAGAAATCATAACATTGAAAATTTTGCCTCCATGGATTAAGTTTCCTTTTTCCTTATATGAACGTATTTATGCTAAAAGGAACTATGTTGTACACAAACCCAATGTTTGTAGTTCCTTTTAGCATAAATACGTTCATATGATCTTATACCTTTTGTGTATTTTCCGAATAAAGTATGCTATCTTTCAGCATCATCCTCGCTGAGCCTCCAGTTGCATGTTCCACATTCCGTTGGGTAAAATGTAGGTGGTACCCAACGACGGGAATGAGAAGATTTTCTTCCAGGGGTCTAATATTAACGTAGATTAACAGTGACGAAATTAATGTTTGTAAAAAGTTCAATATTTTCATACATTTTAATTAGCGTCAGATCGGAACACCTAACTACTCCAGCTAAATATCTTTACAGAAAAGAATAATGTTCAAATTTTGGATACTGCATAAAATTCCATCCGATTCCAGTCCCGGACCTCTGGATAGAGAAAGATTTTAAACATCATGAAACATGTTACCTCATTAAAGTCTCACGTGGAATACGTTGGGAGTATTGAACATTTCTTTAATGAAACATTTTCGGTAGAGTAGTACCGTATGCTAAAATGATTAGAAAAAGAAGAATCTTGGTACTAAACAAGTGCTCCAACTACCAACAGGTACCATACAGGTTTAGTGCCAAGACCAAGATGCTTCTTCCTCTAATTTCTTAAATCAATCACACGTAAGTGAGAAAGTAATGTTTATATTTCTGATAAGAATCAATCAATGAATTCAAACCCAGTTACGAAACATAGCCAACAAGCCAACATAGGACAAACAAGCCCACGAATACTAGTGAGATATTTAGCAAATAACTAGACTTCAGTTTCACATAAATTTCCGCTCTTTTTTGGCACACGTTAAATCGACACGTGTAATAAACATTGGAACTCGGAAGAATATACTCCATCGTAAAGCACGGCAAGATTAATGTAATGACCGATCGACCCAACTAGATCTTGGTTTCTTGGCAAGCCAGGGTATTCGAATCACTGAGAGCGTACAAGAATGGTTTCTCACCCATGGATTGAATTTGGAAATTTTCAATTCCTCCATCTTGTTCTATGTGGAATTTTAGTGAGAAAACATGCACCAAGTTGATCAAAAATAAATTGTTTCTATAAATCGCCGTTTTGTTGGAGGGGGGGTGGTGTTGTCCCTCAGACGTGCGCTCGCTTTTAGTATTCTTATGCGCGTTTCGTTGATTCGCTAGTTTTTGAGGGACCCGCGCATCAACTCTGGGAAGAGTATGTATTTTCCGGAAGATAAGCAACAATTTAGCGGTAGTTTTAGTGTGTCCTAGGTTGATGGTTTACCATTTTTAAATTAAATCAGGATTTAAATCAGTTTGTCCAAGAACTCCATTCTCGCAATCCACTGTGTGACAATAGTATGTCCAAAAACTTTCTTTCAGTAAACCAATTATTATAAAAAAAAAGAGAAAAAAAGGAATTGCTCACTCATTATTTCAATTTGTCAATCGTGTTCTGATGTCTAGAATTTTAATGACGGAACAGACAATCATCTGGATGATAAATTTTCCACTCTGTCGCTAATTTCTCACTCATTAATTGGATTTGAAAATTCCCGATTTGCCCATCGTGTTCTACGTAGAATTTTAATGATGGAACATTTATCAAGGTGATACATTTTCTGCGCCGTTTAGTACCTAGTCCACTAGATCCAAGTCCTTCTCTGCTAAAAACGACGAAATCCCTCAAAAAATTTTCGCGAATCATCGAAAGTCATGAATCATCGTCATGACTCACCGGACGAAGCGTAAGAATTGATAGCATGTTCGACGTTAACAGAATCCCCATTTCCACGTCATAGCGTTCGCCCACGTCGGCAACGTCCGCTCGCGGTTTTGGTTATGCGTGCCAAAAAGCACAGACGTCGTGCGGTCGGGTCGGCGCCCCCCGGGCTTTCGGGAGCCCCGGGGGACGGGGGGTGGGGGGGGGCGAAATACCTTTCCACTTCGCTGTGGACGCGGACTCGCGGCACAAAGCGCCAAGACACCAGATCTGTCCAGGTCCAATTGGATCGGCCCCTGTTAGACGGGCGTAAGTCCAAAAACTTATGGGCTCTCGCTTTCGTTGATCGCGCAGGACGGCAGGGGTCATGAGTTTTTGGACTCAGGCCCATCTAACGCAGGAACCGACTCAATTGCTTCCCTTCCATCGGGGTTTATTTTTGATCGAAAGCAAAACAGAAAACACTCGGCTCCGGGTCTCGTCTCATTAGGACCGGATTCCAGACGGTTAATCGTCCCTGAACTACCTTTCGCTCGTTCCAGCTCCTGTCGAGCGTCCAGCGGAGACGTAGCGCGCAGTTTCGGCCGAAAAAAGGTGCACGGGCGAGACCAGGAATGGGCCTGTTGCAAGGTGCGGGATTTGCCAATCGATAACTGATGCCAATGGCTAATTTCTCGAGAAGAACGATGAGGCTGTAGATCGTTTTCGACAGTTGTTCGATGTATCGTTTGGTTCAAAACCGTGGTGTCTAGTTTTTTAAAAACCGGGGAAAACCGGGATTCTTCAGGGAATGAAAATTTACCGGGAATCTCTTCTCGAACCATCCAGAGATCATTTCTTTTTCAAATTTGGCGGTCTAATCTGACGTGCTCCAAAGAAATGGCTGTAAGGTGAATTAAAATCGATATGCATATCTGAAAACTCTGGAAAATTATATTCTTTTTCCAAAGAAAATCCCGGGAAAGTGGGTGAAAATTTCGGTTTCTCGTCAGGGAATGAGCTCCTGAAAATCGGGGGAAAAATCAGGGAATGAGATTTGCCAAGAAAACTAGACACCATGTTCAAAACAATAGAATATAACCTCAAACAAAACTTTCAGGATTTCAGTCGGAAAAGCTGAAATGAGAAAATTCCTTATTATTTCACCTTGCGATGCCATTTAGTACTCATAAGAAGCAAAAATCTATCAGAAAAACCCCGTTTCCTCAGATTACTCGATTGACTTTCGAGGCTATGTTTACATGTTGAACCAATCGATATCGATACAATCTCACCTATTTGATGTATCGAAAACGATCTGTTGAAAAATCTTGAAATCACCTCCCAAACTCAAAGACGGCTGTTTAAGAAACCGACCCGTTCAAAACGGTCGCTTTTACGCGGGATCGGATCCGGCGCACTCGTGACGTCACAGTACGTGACAAACCTAGTCTCTTCATCAAGCGGCTGCTAATTCCTTATGGAGAAGTACATTGTAAACAATGATGAAACCAGGTTTGTCATGTACTGTGATGTCACGCAAGTACCGGATCCGTTCCCGCGTAAAATTGACCGTTTTAAAAATACGAATCTTGCGGCGTTTTAAGTTGATTTTTTTTTTGGGGGGGGGAGGGGGGTTCCGATGATCAAAAACTCCGGAAAAATTCCTGTGATATCAGGATACTTAGTTCTATCGATTCAAGGAATAAAAAAATTGTGCAACAGGTCGATTAGGAGGCCTAGAGGGGCACCTTATCAGGGTGTGTACCGTATGGAAAAAGCACGGATTTTAAGAGGTCGGCACGGGATACGGATATCGCCGGACTTCTCTTTAAACACGGAAATAAAAGTGTCTGGGTTTATCTCCTAAAATTGTGATACCTCAAGTTGGTGGATGATTTTGACATTTCCAATTAATTTTGATTGTGCCGCAACTCAACTTGAGGTACTACCGCAACATTTAGGTCAGGAACCTAATTTATCGGGGCACTGCCACAATTAATTGGAAATGACCAAGTTGGGGATTGACCCCTATACACCTCTTTTTTTCCGTGAAAGGCACAAAAAGTAAGCAGAGATTTTTCGTGATAGACGCGAAAACAGAGCCGTGGCAGATTTGCAATTTTTACACATAGTTAATTAAATTACGTTCCCGCGGTATACTCTAGTCAGATTCTGCGTGATTCAGTTTATTTCTCCAAAATTCCCACTTTCCAAATCCGAATTTTTGAAATTTACGTTAAAATCCGTCCTTTTGACAGATGAAGATGCGTGTCAGCGGGTAAAGAAATTGCGAGGATTTCAGGAAACCTCTAAAGAAAGGATTTTTGGAAGGTATGGGAAAGAAAGATGACGAAAAGATAGGATTTCAGAGGATGACGTACCCACTAGTAAAGTAGTATCAGCGCACCCACGCCCTTTTTATCGAAGGGATCCGGGGGACTGACATGTCATCTTTTTAAGAGAAAATTAGGGTCCAGAGGGCTTCCCCAATAAATTCTGAATTTCGAGACAATTTAGAAGCAATCAGCTGCTCTGACTGAACACTTGATTGAAATGCAATAATATAGTTGAAACAAATTTTACGCCCTCATCGTGAAAATCCCGTTCATTTTCTTGCGGGTAGGCCTCTTAACCCCCTTGCCCCGTCCATGTTCATGCTCGGAGTAG